GGTGGTATAAGAGCCTTGAACCTGAATAATTTAAGAGTCTATTCGATCATGATGAATATTAGGAATAGCAATGAACGAGGAAAAAAACCCACAAAATTTAAGAAAATATCAAAATACCTAAAAATTAAAGTGAAAAATCGATATACAAAGTTCCAAAAACGAACAGACTCGCAGTTTACGATCAGGTGAACCAGATCCTTTCAAGTTCACAACGCTTGGGGTTTTTCATGGCTGTCAGAAAGCATTTATATCAAGATGCTTTCTTGAGAATGGAACCCATTGTGCAATATCCGTTGTATGCAAAAAGAACGTGTTACTTACAGTAGTCTTTTCTCACTATAGGAACCGTAAAATATTCACCAGGATGAATAAGGATTTTTTTAAACAACAACTAAGTCATTAGAATATAGGACTTTGCGATCAGAAAGTACTAGTCTTAAATTAATAGATTTTCTCTGTCTCAGTCTTCAGTCTTCAGTAATAAGGATAGGTCTGTCGACCTATATTAATCCTTGCAGTTTGTAATACTGTGGAGGTCAAATCTCGTTTTGAATATATTAACAGATGGTGCTGATATTACGTGTTCCGGTAGAGAATTCCAGTAATTCATTACTCGGTGCGAGAAACGGAACTCCAAACGTAAACGGTTTGATCTTTGTTTTTGGACTTTCTTCGAATGTCCTCTCAAATGATCGGTTCTAGACGGAAGCAAAAGATAAGACATGTTAATACCAAGGTCATCGTTCAGTATACGATAGGCCAATATTAGATCACCCCTTATTCTACGGTAAGATAACGGAAATAAGTTAAGGTGTCTCAGTCTGTCTTCATAAGATAGGCCAGATAGACCTTGTACCATCTTAGTAGCTCGTCGTTGGACTCTTTCCAGCATATCTGCTTCATATTTGTTACAAGGACACGCTGCTTGAATCCCGTATTCTAAATGTGGTCGCACATAAATCGGGTATTGTAATCTAAACATTTCATCATCTAAATACTGGAAAGACCTACGAATTGACCATAATACCCTATAGCCTTTCGCAGTTGCAGCCTTACAGTGACTAGTCGTTTTGAGATCATTGCCTAATATGACTCCTAAATCTTTATAGTTTCTTACTTTGGGTAGCACGAATCCACGTAGTGTATAGTCATACGATTCGTCAGAGTTATTTAACTGCATCACTACACTCTTATTAGGATTTACTTCTAGTGACCACCTATCTAACCATGCCACCATGTCCTGTAATACTATCCTATCCGACTTGCTATGTATGGGTCTTCAAATCTTTATGTCATCAGCGAAGAGTAGAACGGATGATTTTGCTACAGTTGGCAATTCATTTACATAAAGTAAAAAGAGAAGAGGACCCAAGATTGTACCTTGGGGAACCCCACTTTTCACAGGTACCCACGAGGAGAGAGCCCCATTAACCCTTACCCTTTGTCTTCTGTCATGGAGAAAGTTACTTATCCAATCGACGACTGTATAATGGATTCCAAAACGTTTCAGTTTGAATTTAAGACCAGAGTGGGAAACCTTATCAAAGGCTTTACTTAGATCTATGAAAATCACATCCACAGGAGCATTCGGATCCTTTGCCGCAGCCCAATCTTCTCGTGCAATGAGAAGATTTGTCAAGCAAGATAGGCCTTTCCGAAAACCATGTTGTTCCCTGGAGAAAAGATTTTGCCCTTCAACATAGTTTATAACAGCTATCCGAATGATTTTCTCCATCAGTTTTACAACTGCACTAGTTAAGCTAACGGGTCTATAGTTACTAACTAAATCCCTACCCCCAGCATTATACACCGGACTTATTATGGCGTCTTTCCAGTCTCTAGGAAGTCTGGACTGTCTCAGAGACATGTCGAATAGTATCGCTAATGGTTCAGCAATTTCATCTGATATGGCTTTCATAATCCTAGGATGAATATCGTCAGGACCACTGGACTTATCAGGTTTGAGATGCTGGAGTAGCCTTAAAACAGTATCTTTCTCAATGACTACAGGATCCATCAGCGAGCCGTCACGGTCGCGACGAATCATTGGTCGTTCCTCATTACCGATGGAAAACACTTTACTAAACTATTCCGATAAAGCTTCAGCTTTTTCGGCATCATTCTCTGCTAAGATTAATGGATTTTCTCGTATCAAAAGTGATGGAATTCCATCGCTTCTCTTAGTTCGCCTTTTTATATACGAGAATAACCGTTTCGGACTATATCTAGAATCCCTAAGCAATTGTTTTTCGTATGATAGTCTAGTCTTACTTATTAACGCTTTACAGGCATTCCTAATCTTACAGTAACTGGATCTGTATTGTTCTAAGCCAGTAGAGATGAACATATCCCAGTGATTCTTCCTTTTTCTAAGGAGTTTCCTGACCGTTTTAGTTATCCATGGTGGACTATTATTCGGTCTTCGCGGTACCAGGTATAGTATGAACGGGGACGTAACTAGTCTAAATTTACCTTTAAATACAGACCATGCTTCTTCAACTGATATGCTAGTATCTACTAACCAATCTGTCTTAGCAGCACATTCCTGAATGGCTGATATGTTAGCTTTCCATACATTTGGGCGAGGTGTAACCTGATCGTATAACATGTCCCTTGTTCGAAACGTGAATGACAAAACAGCGTGATCGCTGTTCACTAAGGGTGATCTTATCTGCAACGCAACCATGTAAACTTAATGTATCGCACACTGTCATTTGTGCGTTCAAGTAACCACAGATTTTGACATTTCATAATGTATTTTTAATTAATTAACTAGATTATGTAGTTAATTTTGCTCTGTTTTTAATTTTTATTCGCCACGTCCGACTGCGTTACACTGTACGTCCATTGCACGCTGGGATGATAACTGAAGTCATAGTGATTTTATTCACATAGTTGATTGTTTTCAGATAGACTGTCAGTGCATGATTTTACTGAAGAAAGGTTTGTTGTACTGTAAACTATGTTTCTATGAACAACTGCCTGTTGTCTTCAGTATTAAAGCAGTATATATGTATCCTTCTTTTTTTCTTAGGTAAGTTCAACTGGCCTATATTTCGTGTTTTGGTTTTATCGGCTTAATTATGTCCATTTAACTACTTTGAGCAGCATGTCTTTGCAAGTGAAACAAGTATGACATTTGTTTAGTTTAGTGTTCTTGGTTGTCGTATAATTCAGTTTAGTTGAAAGAATTATGATATACTTAAGTATAGTGCTTGAAGCCTGTAACGAAACAGATCAGTTTAGTAAGTGGAGTTGCCTGTTTCTAAAGTGTATACGGATTCAGACCAGTCTGATTAAAAATAGGAAAAAACGTGCCTTTGATGCTGTCGCTGTCATACATTATAAGATAGCGATAAGTATGTTTGGTGTTTATTTCTAAACTGTACATCTATCACTGACCATATTTCATGATCACTGTCATTAAACAATTTCCCCAGCAATAACTTTGCTAAGTGTCTTAGCTTTTAGTTGCCCGCAAAACAGCAGTATACAATCTTAGAAGATGAGTGGTCTGTGTCTGAATTAAATGCAGCTGGCTGTGGACAAATGTTAAGAATCTTTTTGACAACTGGGACTCTTAGTTCATCATAAACTTACTCTGCTTGTATGTTTTCCTGTTAAACTAGACTCAGATGCATGGGAATACTTGAATGGGAGCAAAATAATTTAAAGCATTGCAATACGGTACTAAGCCCATGTTATGCTTTGCGCAAGTAATAGTAGCTGACCTTATCTAATATTCATGAACTCAAGGTAAATCACAACTGCATAAATTCTTTGCTAAAAAGCATGTCATTTGGTTATTTATTTATTCCACATTTCTGACTAAATTCATCACCATTTTTTCATTTAGGATGCAACAGGAGTGAGTCTTCACAGATCATAAAAACTGCTTCGTCCTTAGAACTATGGCCCTATGGAACTGTTTACGGGAGATCCAACGAATAGCAGAATATAAAAAGGATGCTGGACGTCCATTTTAGTCTCACAACCACTTCCAGTATTTTTCGACTTGTTTTACTCTTTCGTTTGGAAAAAAAACAACGAAAACTGCAGCTTTACATTACCAATACAACTTTTAAACTGGAACTTGGTTTAAAACTTTGTTTGATATTCGATTCTTAATGAAAGTTCTTCAATAAATTTTTGAATCTGATGCTACTTTGTTTTATCTACTTAATCGTTGCAAGAAACTTGTGATAAGCGAGCCTCTTAGCACCTAGTTCATGTGTTCAAATGGTTGTGGACTGAATAGAAGCTTTCGCTTAACAGGCTTCCGTGTCTAGTAGCAGGGGATCACCAATACCTCAAGGCAGGAAACTAGGTATGTTAACAATAAAAGAGGAAAAAGAGATTGGTAAATCATAGTACGATACTATACTTAGTCCTTAAGAATAAATCCAGTTGCCTCTTAAAGGACTCCTGGGAAGTCGCTTGGACTAGCTCGGCCGGCAGAAAATTCCAGCATTTGACAACTCTTAAGGAGTAGAAGTTGTGTCTACAGTCCGTTCTGCTATGTTGTGTCTCTAGTTTCTGGGTGTTACCCCTTAGATTAGTGTTGGAACTAAACTTAATTAGGTGTTTCAGGGGATGTCCAGAAGTGTTAAGGTTATTGTAAGCCATTAGATCACATCTAAGACGTCTATACTCTAATGAGTAGAGGCGCTCTTCATAAGGTGATTTTGGTGCATATCTTCGTCATTTTCTTGGGAGACCTACAGACTCGGGTCCTCTCATAGCTTATTCTAACCACCATGGGTTGTCACGGCAGCTGATGGATGGACACGCGTTACACATCCAAACCGTACCTGCGACACCATTAATTTATACCTTAAGTATATATGTGTTTTTGCTTCTTTTGCATCTTTCATAGCAACATGGTGCAAGGTAGAATGTAACTGTGGATTTTTATTATCCTATCTAGAATATTGGGCATTGGTTTCTTTCTAAGGTCGTGGCTTCAGCGCTTCCTTCTAAACTATTTTCACCTTACGCTCATGAGCCTATGGTTAGTTCCTTTGCTGGTCTCATAAATTTGTGACACTTATGCCGTTTGTGTTAATTGTAGCTATATGTGTTGTTTGTGTATGTGTTTGTGAATTGAAAGTACTTCTCTGTCGCCAAATATTTTTTAAAAATATCGTCTCGCACCTTATTCGATATCAATATCTACGTTATTTTGTCTGAATTTTAAGATCATACGTCACAACTTCTATTTTAATTTCCAAATCCCAATCGTCAATTATTTACGACTTGGTATGCTATCAGCATGATTACCTGATTTCATTCTTAACGTCTCTGCTCTTTTCTGCCTTTTACTATTTCTAAGATGCTCATCCCTTTAATATCATGTTCAATGATAACAAATGTGTATCTGCGATGTTTTTATAGGAACCATAAAACATCGCAGATACATATTATAGTATTATAGTATCTAGTAATATTTTAGCTACAAAACAATTTGAAACAACAGGTCGTCCTTTGTTCAATGCGTAGCTTCGTTAAATAAGCACAAATTGTAAGTGAAGCTGGGGGTTTATTATCACATATAAAAAGATCATGTCAATTTCGCCGTCTTGATCAACGTTCCTAGACAAATCACATATTGAAATATTCGGCTCATTGAGTAATCTTTAACTGCAGAAGGTTTTACTTAGTATAAATCGTTTCGTAACAGGGTTTTCTCGGAGCCGTGTCCAGAGAATTATTTTCACCAGTCAGCACCAGTTATTCAAAAATGCTTCGTTATTAAAAATGTCCTCGGTTTAAGATTTTGAAATAGATTTAGTTTTAAAGTTTCAGTTGTTGATCTGTGCTGAACCTTAAAGAAATCTTAATTTTAAATCTCTATAACTGAAATGTCACATATTGAGTTTTCCGGTTGTAACTTTAAATTCAATTGTCCAGAATGTTGTTGCTTGACTTCACGGTAAGGTTCCTGTTTTTAACACAAAGTGAAGTGCTCACTTGAAGTAAGATTAAAATTCGAGGTTAATTAGATTATTTCCGGAATAAATTTTTTGATATGTATAATAGCTAGAATTTCCCTCCTTTATTTCCGTCTTTGTATACCTGTAATTTATATTTGATTTTTAAATCTTTATTTACCCACCGGTTCTTCAGTGTTACAGCTTGTTTCTAGGACCTATTCGTTTTTCACATTGATCTCTGTTCTTTATTTTTAGCCTCATAAAGTGTTCTATTTAGACTTTACTTAAATGTACTTGTATTTTTATAAATACTTTCATTTTCTCTTACATAATCAGCAAATTTTACTACTAAAAATAATCCTGCCTATCACTTAATTATCTGAACACTCGCTGTCATCGTAAAGTTTGCGTATGTGGCAAATCGTAATCAACTTGGTACATACTGTGAGCTAATAAATGATCCTGCAACAATTTCAGCCAATTAAGTATAGCTTCAAAGTATTTTCGATAATGGCAGATCTTCCCTATGAGATTCAAACACTCGACTCTAAGAGTCGCGATCAGATATATGAGGATCGAAATGTTTGGGGCGGTCATTGAATGTATGTATGGCCAACACTTTCGCTGTTCATTGGAGCACAAAAAGCACCTATAGGATGGGAATCATGGATTCAGAATCATCAAAACATTTTTCTAAACAGGGGTGATGGAGATCACAATTAATATTATCCAGTGCTATGCATCTATCAATGATAACAATGAAAATGACAAAGACCGGTTTTACGAGAGGCTGCAATCGATCGCAGAGATGCACTCAGGAAAGAACTTGATCATTCTGATTATAGACCTAAACGCCAAAGTTAGAATAGACAACAACTGAAAATAAGATAACATGGGCGACATGGGCTGGGTGGCGCAGGTGCATCCACTCATTGTGTTTTCCCAAATTCTAATCTCCTGAATCCTCCTTGTCTCTTTTTTTCTCTTTCCAAATTTGTTTCACTGGATTATACTCTTTAGATAACATCTCCAAACCCTAATGTTTCCGATTACTGCTTATAATTTTACTACCTCTACCACTACGGGATTTGAATCGACAACTGCATCTCTGTGCTAATGTGGTATGGCAACTCGAACTGATATACGTGCGTACGAGGTTCTACGTCACTGACTGACTGACTGACTGGGCTGGGAGAAAAGAAAGAGAATGGCGAGACATTTTTGTGCATTCAACAAAATGGTTATAGGTGCCACCATATTCCCCCACAAATGCATATACAAAGCCACATGGGTTTCACCGGATCACACCACAGAGAACCATATCAATTATAAGTGTATCACTAAAAAATTCAGAAGGTCAGTGAAAGATGTAAGAACCAAGGGAGGAGCTAATATAACTTCATATCCTACCTGATGATTACCAAGCTGAAATTGGAGCCAAATAAGCAGTGGAGATCTAATCCACGAGGCAGTGGAGCAAGGTCATACAAGTCGTTGTTTTGATTAATGATTTTGCCACGTGATATTTTTGACGGGTTATAGGACATAACATTTGCCTGAATAAAAACATTTACTGTTTGCCTTTCCGTTGATCTTATGATTGAAATCTCTTAATATACAATTCAGTTTTTTTATCACTCCCTGGGTTACACATGAGGACTCACCTAAATAACAAATTAGAATATCAGTGAATATACTTGTTACAATTCAAAAGAAAAACTAGTTAATTTTTAAAATAATCATTCCTTGTTGTTTGAATAATGAATGTGTATATCTGTATCGCTTCTGAAGAATACTAGGATTGAAAGTTCACGAATATTATGACTAATTATACAAATCCCTATCTAGACAAAAAATAAAATCCTAATGATAGAAGCGTTTACAAAATTTTCTTGTATTTTTTAAAGTAGATAAAGAATTCCTAATTATAGCGGTAAATTGATCTTAGAACTATAAAACTTTTAAACTAGTGACCAAGTTAAATTATCTGGTGAAAGTTAGGTCTAAATATAGACCTAAAGCTAGTATTTCGTTTAAGTTTATGTGAATAATCTTTTTAAACCATATATTCCAATTGAATATAATATAGTCCAAAATACGTTAATATATGTCATTATTTCTTTAATATTTCATTAACTTCAATTACATTTCTAAACACCGGCTATTTACATTATCATTCCTTTAAAGTATTTAAATACTGAGCGTTTATCTGCCCACATCTACCAGATATACAGTCTCATAGTCAGGACAGCAATATAATTAGCTTTTACATAATAAGTATGACTGATTAACCAGGATTAAAACCTATCTAAAGCTATTTAATTCCAAATATTAATTCATATATGAAGAGTATTATCTGTCTTGACATATAAGTGACTTACTATTGAGCGTATAGATATGTTTATTGCTAGTAAGCTTCTATTTTCACTTAACTAACTATATATGGTATCACACATTTTATTTTATATTTATTTATCTAAACACATGAGCATTGGTACAAGTAGGCACGAAATAGATATGCGCTACATAAATCATTCGATTTGTGTGAGGGCTGGTATACTACCCAGGTTCTCAAACCGAAGCCGGCGGGGGGCATACCTGGAGTCTTTGACCTAAAGGTCTGATCTACAAGGAAGTGGAGCAACGTTAGTAGATGCAGTCCCATGGTAGTCAGTGGCCAACGATAGGTCCATACTCCATCTGTTCCTTCAGGATCGTGGAGCCCATATGCATCATTGGTTTTTAATCAGGGTTTTCCAACTCCCTTTGGTGAACCCTCTGAGTCCACCGACACGGTTAAAGCACCGGACATTCGCTTTTCATCCTCTCGATTTCGTACACAATAATGATGCCGCGAGAAGGTATTGATTAGGACTTCCCTGACAGTGGTTGTATGCACGTGCCCATCTAAGAGAATTTGAAGAAGGAGGGCTGGCTCTCCCCACTCTCGGCCGTACCAGGATATTTGGGAGTCTGGTATCACATTATGTTTTAGATTACTTGAGATTAGGCGAAATATATGTAAATCATCTATCCGAAAAGTGTGTATAATATTTTCAAAAATTCTTGGCGAGACTATAGTTTATGGACGAACCAAACAGATTTACAATAATAGGTCTTGAACTTTGGCTCAAAATTAATTAATTCATTTAACTAAATATAGTTTTGGTATTATAGCTGATATCAGTTCGTTATGAAAACCTTATATTTGATTCCTAACCTTATTTATCAACTGTAAATCATAATTCTAATTCCTCATACTGGTTTATAACCCTCATTTTATTTGATTCCGTAGACCGCGAGATTCTGTGGCAGTGTCTGTCATTGAAAGGCTTATCTCAAAAGTACATAAACCTTGTGAAGGCTCTTTACTCCAACACTACTAGTCGAGTCAGAGCTTATGGCGTACTGTCATCTACTTTTGCAACCTCAATTGGTGTCCGTCAAGGCTGTCCACTTTCTCTATTTTTGTTCAACTTCACCATAGACCTACTGATGGAAATAACGTTTTTGTCGACTGGATTTTCGGGCGTTGATCTCCTTCCAAGAAGTTCACTTATTGACTTAGAATACGCAGATGACATAGTCCTGTTTGGTGAAGACGCTAACAAAATGCAGAGTCTTTTGGTAGCACTAAGCAACAATGCCAGAATGTTTGGAATGCGTTTCTCTCCCTCGAAACGCAAGTTGTTGCTTCAGGACTGGCCTGCATCAACCCCTGTACTAAGGATAGAGAGTGAAGTAGTAGGACGCGTCGACAACTTCACTTATCTTGGAGGTCTGATCAGCCCTAATGGGTTGGTGTCTGACGAAATCTCAGCACTGATTCGAAAAGCTCGTTTGGCTTTTGCCAACTTTCGTCACCTATGGCAAAGGCGAGATATCCGTCTGTCAATAAAGAGACAAATATACTGCGTGGCAATCCATTCTCTTTTAATTTACGGCAGCGAAACATGATCATTAAGAGTAGAAGATGCTCGTAAGCTACTAGTGTTTGACCACAGATGCCTTGGAAATATTGCTGGCTAAGAGATTAAAATCGCTTCATATCTTTCTTTCTACGAACTAATTCTTTCTTCCTGTACTATATCCTTTTATGCAATCTTTCTTTTATATATTACCACCATTGAATTAACTACTTCTATGAATTTGGTGTTCATCTTGTTGTTGAGATATGGCAAGTTCGACCGAAGCATATATGTGCCTGGTCCTACGTTGTGGCTGACTGACTGACTTATAACCCTCATTTAGTCGTAGTATGTAGGTGGACATTCTCTAGATCTCTTTAGAGTCGCTCACCGAATTGATGAATATTTATCGTTGATTTTTTCTCTCTATTTTTCAGCTTTTTAGAATTTTATCAATTTATATAATTGTGCAATACATTTAATTATGTAAGTTCATTTATTTAATATGATGATAACACTTGTTTTTTTGTTTTAGGGATAATTCAATGAAACTTTTACAAGTTCAAGTATTCTTTCGTCATGGTGCAAGAACACCTTTATTTCATGTTAAATCATCTATTTTCCCTGAAGTAAAATTATATTATCATAATTATGGTATTTTATTTATTTATTTTCCTCCTCCCTCTCCTCCTTCTCTTACTCTTCCCCCCTCCCTTAGGCTATATGGTCTCCAGAACTATCTACAGATTTACCACATACATTATTTCCTTATCGTTTAATTGATATATCTACTCAGAAACAAACTCAATTATCATCTGATTATTTAGATAAATTATTTGTATTACCTGTAAGTACATTAAATTTCATTATTATTATTATTATTATATAAAAATTTTTATTTTTAGGGTGGTAATAAAGTTGGTGAATTAACTAAAACTGGTCAACAAGATGCATATAATTTAGGTATACGTTTAAAAAAACAATATCAAGACAATTATAATTTTATTTCATATCAATTTCAACCATCACAATTTCAGTAAGTCTATTCACATATTACTCATAATGATAATATTGTTATTTTCTTTTTAGTTTAAGAACTACTTTCATTGCTAGAACTATTAAATCATTACGTTGTGTTATGGCTGGTTTATATGGTGATAATATATCATTAAGTAAGTAGGATTTATACAAACTAAATAACTAATCTACACATATATTCATGTTCTTTTTTTTTTCACAATCTTTGATTTGACTTCTTGATCACTGTTATACGATTCTTAATTTATCACCTGCTCATTAGTGACTGACTTCAGGAGACACTCCTGGAGTTCTAGTAAGAAGTCGTTACCAGTGGAGTTCAACCAGGTCTGTTGTGAGATAGGAACTCACTGAAGACAATGGTGTATGGTGGCGCAACTTCATGGATTGGTTGAAGTTAGACATTAACACCGTTGGATGCTGGCTCAGTGGCCTAGTGGTTAAGTGCTCGCTCGCGAGACCAGTAAATCCTGGGTTCGAATCCCGCGAGGTGCGGGGTCGTGGATGCGCACTGCTGAGGAGTCCCATACTAGGACGAAACGGCCGTCCAGTGCTTCCAGGTTTTCCATGATGGTCTAGCTTCAATTGACTCATGATTTCAAGTTGTGAAATTTCTTAATTTATTCCTAATCTATTAGTTACAATCGTCTATAGTCACAACTACGTTTGACTTAATCTTGTATCATTATTATTTTTCATTTTGTGGTGTGTTGCGGTCTAGTCTACTTGTATATCAACTATGTATGTCTGAAATATACGATTCACACATAAGAGGTTGATATTTATGTTCTGAACTGAATGAATCGGGAATTGTTGAGAAGTTGTCATATAGAGAACCGATGAGAACTCAGAGTGGACTCAAGATTGCTAATACTGTTTGATGCATTATTGATTTAGCACTGAGACAAGGTCATACAAGTCATTGTTTTGATGATGTTGATATTCTATCATTAAGTATATAGAAATAATCTAGTGAAATACTACTTTTTGTTGTTGTTGTTGTTGTTGTTGTTTCCATTAGCTGAACCTGTTAATTTTCAATGTGATCAATTAAATAATGAAATACTTTTCCCAAATCCACATACATGTCAATTACTTACACAATTATTCAATGATGGTATTATTGAATGTAATGAATCAAAAACATTTCAAGAAATGAAACAAAAATTAAAAAATATTTTAGGTAAGTATAATTATCATTATTTTTTCTAGTGTAAAAGATGTTCCACTGTGATACTTACTTATCCATGTTAATCCTTGTGGTGGAGGATAGGTTATCCACTAGCATTCTCTATTCAACCTTGTCATAAGTGTAAAAGATATCATTTCATTTATATATTATACTTAAGTTCTTATTTAAATCTTATTTGTTTTATTATACTAGTTTCTGTTCAATGAAAATCCTCCTGGAGACCATCTAGGGCTACTGTCAGTTCCAAGCCCAGATGAAAGAGGAGAGTTGGGTACGGGGTTAGCAACCACATCCCGTAGAAAACTAACTTTCTAAAATAAACGCTTACCAGAAAAAATAATTCAAACCATTTAAACTATGTCTTTTGGAGTTAGAGGGTCTTCAGTTAGAAGAGTTATGACGCCTTGTGGTGAAAGTCGAGATCCTTCGAAAATCGCGAGGCTGATGTCTCTTCCGACAATCGGAGCAACCATTTATTTAGATACATGGAATGCTCTTACAATTTGGGAGACCGGGAGAGTCTTCCAAATTGCTATTGCTGTTCAATAAGTATGCGAACGATGGTCATACTTACATAGTTACTTACTTACACCTGTTACTTCTCGTGGAGGAGCATAGGCCACCCACCAGCATTCTCCATCTAACCCTGTCCTGGGCAATCTTTTCCAGTTGTTATTCATCTTTTTCATATCTGTTTCTATCTCCCGACGTAATGTGTGATTATACCTTTCCCTTCAGGATTTCAAGTTAGGGCTTGCCTTGTGATACAGTTTGATGTTTTGTGGCCGTGAATCTGACTCCAAGATCGTATAAATGTTTGTTATCGCCAATTCTCGTATATCATCGTCGACTTAAATCACGTTAGTCAATAACGGAATTTAGATAAGTCAAATAACGAGAATGGGATTTTGAATACATATATTTTGTGTGTAAAGTGAATGTAATAGGACAGAGAAAAATGATGCGCATGGAAGATGGCTGGGAAGCCAACTCCATCGTTGTCAAGCCTTACTCAATATTTATAGTCAGACAAAATAAAGCTACAGACATGTGATTAATGGAACAAGAAGGGCACACACATATACGCTCATATAAAAACAGTCTAGATTGATAAGCGAATAAATAACAAGGTCAATGTATGGCTCAAGTAAAATGAATAGAATGGGATGTCCGAAAGCTCGAATAAGGTATATGGGCTTGGCATAATAACTGACACTACAGATGATTTCCGTAATGTATGACCTATTCATTTCAATCGTCTTTTCCTAATTTTTTCTTCAGCTGAAAGTTGGTTTGTTCTCTCATATACTAGGCTATTGCTGATGGTATCCGGCCAAAAGATGTTGAATATCTTGAGTAGACAACTATTTATCAATACTTGTACCCGTTTGATGATGGTTGTAGTAGTTCTCCAATTTTCAGCTCCGTATGGTAGAACTGTCTTGACGTTCATATTGAACATTGTGACTTTGATATTGGTTGATAGTTGTTTTGAGTCCTATATGTTCTTCAATTGTAGGAATGCTGTCCTTGTTTTGCCAATCCTCGCCTTTATGTCTGCATCTGATCCTCCTTGTTCATCGATGATGCTTCTCAGGTACTTGAAGGATTCTACATCTTCCAGAGTGTCACCATCAAGTGTGATTATGTTGGTGTTCTACTTGTTTTATTTGAGGATCTTACTTTTTCCATTGTGTTATTCGAGGCCTACTGAACGAAGGTCATACATTACATATTTTAAAAACTGTAGGAAACATCATTCTTATTCTATTTAAAATACTTCCCACTTGTATCAGTTAACTTATCCTATATCCGTTTTCACTATTTAGAACATCCATAAAAATGCTTCGAAGTTAGGCTCTTCAGTCGCTTCATCATCATCTCATCCTTTTTTCACAATCCAAAATGTTTCATTATAATCATTCGTATAGATCATTTTTATAGATTTAGTTAGTCAATAAACATTCAGATCATGAATGGGCTATTTGAATGTGCAAGTTACTGCACATGTTCAGCAATTACATCAACACAGTTAACCAATGTTCATCATGATCTTACTTTATTTTTGTAAACCCTATAGCATACACTGAAACTTTAGATCCATTTAGAATAAGTTGTTCTATCCAATACGCTATCTTCACTGGTAACTTGTGGTTTTAATGTAATTCAATCTACGTAGATAGCTCATATAAGTTAAGTAATTAATTTATAGTTATAAACCGTTTACCATGTACACAATCGTGTGTTTGAGTTTGAGTTACATTTCTTATATAGATGTTAATATTACTGCTATCAACACTACTTCTCCAACTACCATTAATACTACTTAATTGCTTAAAGTGACATGGATTAGAGTTGGAACTTACTAAACAATGGTTAAAAGGATAATGTTTTTCCTATTTAAACATACTATCTCATCTAAATACTAAGACGCATTTACAATCTAATGCATTCTGTGTTTAACATCCTATCACTTAGTTACATGTTTCAATTCAATTATAATTACCCTGGCTCAAACAGTTAAGTAGTGTCTGTTTAACATCCTTTCACCCCTGCCCTCCAAATATATACACAATTCGCTAACGAACTCGAACTAAGTTAATGAGTTTAATTTAGTTGTTTTCCATTAGATCCTCATCAGACTTTAATATACAGTAATACGACATTATTAAACTAATCAAGGCAGTTTATGAGTCAATGATAACAATCGAATAGATTACGTAACTAAAGAAGTGAAAAGTACAAATTAGTAGTATGATGACAGGTGTACTAATTGTGATAAGAATAATAAAGGCTTGAATCAATGTTACGTAATTGGAAATAGGTTAATGACTAAACACTGAAGTAACATTCATAAAAATTCTAAGATTACGCAATAAGAAGTGTTCAGATAATTGGACTGTGAAACGTAAATTTGAAGTTAGATATTAACACTGTTGGATACCGGCTCAGTGGTCTAATGTTTGAGCGCTCGCACACAGGACTGATAGGTTATGGGTTCGGATCTCGTCGGGGGTGGTACATGGATGCTCATTGCTGAGGAGTCCCATACTAGGGCAAAACGGCCGTCCAGTGCTTTCAGGTTTCTCATGGTGGTCTAGCTTCAGTTGACTCATGATTTCATCTATTGAAATTACTAAAATCTCCACAAAGCCCTTTCTGATAAAGAAAAAAATGATGAGAGGGGGTGAAGAAAAGTAGACGAAGAAAGAGTTGAGGAATCATCATAGATCGGATCGAGTACGATAGACAGAAGTTGGCTGTATTAAACGTTCTCTTCATTATTCTATCACGTAGTACATCACTCGCTACATCTCCATTGAATTGCAACTTCAGGAAACCCTGTAGATAACTCATTTCAATCAAGATCACACTACTAATTTGTACTTTTTATTTCTTTAGTTAGGTAATCTATTCGATTGTTATCAATGACTCATAAACTGCTTTGATTGGTTTAATAATTACATATTACTGTATATTAGAGTAAAGTCTGATGAGGATCTAATTGAAAACAATATTGTTCTCTTCTATATATTGTACATATGTATTTAACACATTTACATAACTAACAATACAAAATATCTATGTAGAAGTGCAATACAATTAAGTGCAAATAAATGTCTATATCCTATCAATGACTTATTTCATTAATAAAAGATTATTAAGGATAGTTGGATATTGACACGCCCAATGCATATATATTATAATTGATGCGATTCAATTCTAAACAGTCTACTAAACCAGTGTTCAAAATACATGTATATATATACTCTTCATATACAGAGTATAGATTGTATGTTAGTGTTTTTCAACCATATTGTTTACACAAGGGTGAATGAATAGATCAGAGTTCGAACTTACGACTTATTAGTTGAGAGTCTAATATCTTTAATCACTCCATAACTACTTTATCATCTCTTTGATTAGACAACATCATTTGTGTCTCTAATAGAATAAAATTCATTGACAGTATTAATACTGTACAATTTTAGACAATTCTATATAATGTACTATTCAATGTTATATATGCATATATATGCCTGGTCCCACGTTGTAGGTGAATGACTGACTGGTTAATGTTCTTCATATAAATTATGTAATTTATAAAAAAAGTTTCGAAATATTTAAATTGATACACAAATAATAGTTTTATTAAATAACACATATTAATACACATCTATGAAGTTGGTTCTTTTGACAAATTTAAGTTAGCATAAGGGGTTTTGTGGAGATTATAATAATTTAAATAATTGAAATCATGAGTCAATTGAAGCTAGACCACCATGGAGAACCTTCAAGAGGTATTTCCTGGAATTCTAGTGAGAAGCAGTGACCCCCAAATGCCCTGGTACGGCCAAGAGTGGGGAGAGTCCGCTCTCCCTCTCCAAATGTTTTCACATGGCTACGCCTATATAGCCTCTGTCAGGGAAGTCCTACTCACTGTCTTCACGTGGCGGGGGTGTTGTTTACGAAATTGAGAGGGCGAATAGTGAATGTACGGCGCTGTAACCGGATTGGTGGATACGGAGAGTCCACCTAGGAAAGTTGGAAAATCCTCATTCCAAACCAATGGTGCACATCGGCTCCAGTATCTTGAAGGAACAAATGGCGTATGAACCAATCGTTGGTCACCGGCTACCATGAGACTGCATCTCCTGATGTTGCTCCATTGCCCTGTGGATCAGACCTTTAGGTCAAGGGCTCCAGGTGTGGTCTCTTAAGAAAACCATCTGCTTCGGTTTGGGCACCCGGGCAGTATCACAGCCCTCACACATATCAAATGAGATCTGTGTGGCGCATATGTATTTGGCGCCTATTTGTACCAATATCTATGTTTTAAAATAAATGAACCAGTGAAGTTCAACCACGTCTATTGTGAGATGGTGTATGTGTCGCTCAATTACGTGGATTAGTTGAAGTTAGACAATAAAAGCTTTGGATGCCAGCTCAGTGGTCTAGAGGTTAAGCGTTCGTGCACGAGACCGATAGGT